GAAAAAGAAAACAAATTCCAAATTCTGCATGGGCATTTCTAGCATAATCCATCTTTAATGCAATAACCCAGCAAAGGGTTCTTTCTTGCTTCTCCTGGCTTATAGCAACTTGCCTTGAGTCTCTTCCTTACTGTAATTGGACATCTTCCTTTAGCTGAGGATTCATGCATTATTTCTTGGTGAATGGGGAGATCCAGTGGCACTGAGACCCAAAGTGGAGTCAGCATTGCTAAGATGACACACACTGGCACCCGGTGCTGGGGGCTGATGTGAGGAGCTCCTTTTGCACGTGTGCTGTGGTCAGCAGCTGGAATGTGGGGAGGGCGTTCATCCGTCAGCAGGAGAAAAAACAGTAACAAAAATCACTGCCTTTTTATCCTATACGATAAAGGAAGGGGCTGCGGGAGCCAGGAGGCAGTCAGCAGAGGGAGACGTGGGCTCACAGATTCAGCACGCAGCCCCATCCCATGGCATCCCTTGCTGGCTTTGCCATCTGCTTCTTCCCATCATGAAATCTCAACTGAAGGTCACAGCATTTGAAGGCAGATCGACAGAAATCATTTTTTTGGGGGAAAAAAATATCTTCAGAGGGAGAAATACTTCATTAAATATAAATATTAATAATGAAATTTTCCCTCTTTTGCATGTGATATATGTACAAGTAGCATCCAGCTCTTCTCTTTCTTCATTTTCCTGGCAGGCTGTGAGCAGAGGCATGGCTGTGTGCTTCCCTGTGAAGAGCAGGGGAAGGTGCTCCAACCCACACCAGCTGCTTCCACAGGTAACACAGCCATAAGATGAGAGGGAATGGCCTCAAGTTGAGCCAGTGGAGGTTCAGGTTGGATATGAGCAAGTATTTCTTCTCAGGAAGAACGGTGAGGCATTGGCATGGGCTGCCCAGGGAGGTGGTGGAATCACCATCCCTGGAGGTGTTCAAAAAAAGGGCAGATGTGGCACTGAGGGATGGGTCAGAGGGCATGGTGGGGATGGGCTGATGGTTGGACTGCATGATCTTAGTGGTCTTTTTCAGCCTTAATGATATCTGATTTTGTATCTGAACTCATCCTCCAGATACATAAGTCTCCCTTCTCTGTTGAAATAGTGCTCTGCTCTGACAAAATATGAATCCAGTGACTTTTAAACAAATCTGTCTCTGTAGTTGCAAGTGTAATGATGTTCCTTAGTGATCTGACACCTCCTGGGCACGCTGAGCAAACCCAAAGAAGCAGCTGCACGTGATGCCTTGCTTCGTGCTCTGTCCCCTGCCAACAGAGCAGCCCAGGCAGGGCACTGTGCCTTTGGATGAGGTGTTTGGGTGTTCCTGCCAAGGCTTCTGACTAACATCTGCAGCAAGGAGCTGGGACCGCCTCCCAGCCAGCCAGAGTGGAACTACTGCCAGTGTGGGAGGAGGTTTGTGTGGGTACCAGATCATAGAATCATAGAGTCACCGAATGGCTTGGACTAGGAGGGGGCTTAAAGCAGATCCTGTTCCAATCCCCTGCTGTGGGCTGGTTGCTCCCCACCGGATTAAGCTGCCCAAGGGGGGCCCTGGCCTTCTGCACCTCCAGGGATGGGGCATCCACACCTTTCTGCCTGTGCCAAGGCCTCACCAAAGCTCTGAGCATCTTTTGGCTGACTCCCTACACACGTTTGTCCTTCCCTCCCTTGACCTCCGCTTCCTGTTTTTAGGCATTCCTTTCCCTTTGTCTCCATGACCCATGCCCTGGGCCAATGAGATGTTGGTTAAGGGCTATTTAGAATCACAGAAATAACAAATATCAGGATAATGCTGAACTAAGAATGCACACAAATATTAACAAGCAAGTGATAACAGAGATAAGTAAAAAAACCAGAATTTCTGGTTGATGTGGTTGATGGGCAATGAGAAGAATTAATCCAGCCTTTGTTTATAACTGTTGACATGATTAGCATGAATATTATGGGTTATTTTATGAGATTTGAGGGACTTTCTTCACTAGAGGGCAGTGGGCATAGAACAGACTGCCCAGGGCAGGGGGCACAGCCTCGAACTGCCTGAGTTCAGGGGGTTTTTGGACAAATGTTCTCAGACAGAGGGTTTGAATGTTGGATGGTCTTGTGTGGAGCTGGGAATTGGACTCAATGACCTTTGGTGTGTCCCTTCCAACTCGACACGTTCTATGATTCCATGGTTCTTTGAGTTCACAAAACGACCTCTGATCTGGCAGCACCTAACACAAATAACTGCAGCGCATGGAAGAGTCCTGTGGAACCAGGGAAATATGAGAGAACCTGCAAAGAAAATACAGCACTTCCATTCAAACTGTCTCCAGACGGACTTTACTCTTTTTTCAACAATGTGAGGCATGGTGACATTGGCAGCTGCTGAGTTCAAGTTCTCTTTAACAACGTTTGAAGCTATTTCCAACAACCTGGAAGTAGGAAATGATGTCTAAAAGTTGAAAGGTTGAGACTCAAAAACCTTCAGAACTGGAACTGTCCACCCAAGAACTGAAGTGAACCGTGAAATGCTTACACTGGTATTTTGTGTGGTAGTTGAGCTGCTGTGACTGTAAGGCAATCAACTGTAGAATCACTTTCAGACAATACAGCTGCATAATGAATTCAAGGAAAGGCTGAAAACGTTGAAAAACAGCCTAAAATACAAAAACACAGCTTTATTTCCTCAGTGTGACCAGATGAATTCAGATGGGTTGCACCCTTGCCATTTCATCTGAAACTGTCAAACAAAAAGCCCAAAAGGTTTTTGGTTGTTGGAAAGGTTTGTTTTAGCACCTCTTCCGATCTTCAGCAAACACAGAGAGCATCCATCTTTGTCTGCTACAAAGCCACAAAGTGAATTAGGATGAGCCTGAGTACCTCAGATGTTGTGCAGCTGGTCAGGCTTGCTGACAGGCAACCTTGCACCTGGGTGTTCTGCTGCTCCTTGTCCTCCTCAGCAAGCAGAGCTCAATACCAAATCCACTTCAGGAGGAATAACTCAAGCACGCAGCCTTACACTAGATTAATGCTATCTTGTGATCACAAAGCTGAATTCAGGCAAGAGCCCCATATCTGTTTCTCTTTCAGCAGAAAAGGAACTGCTTTGGCTTCACAGCTAGGGCCGTTACACAGCTGAGGTCTTAAACATGGTTTCAATAACCTTAAATTTGGCACAAATTGTACTGCAATATGAATACAGTCTGGATGCCAAAGGACAAGCCTAGCTGAAACTGTCATCGTCAATACAAGACCTGCTTTTTTGGTAATGGAGTGAGTGAACTTTCAAACATGGCATCGGGGCTGATTAAAGCAATGCCATAAACTGCACTGATTACAGGGCTTTTCTTTCCTTTTCACCCCGTTAAATCTTTTAAATATGACAGTGAGATTCAATACACACAGAACAGAAAAAAATGTTAGTAATAAAATCCAGGCTGCTCGCTCTCTTTAAGCATGAGGAATCTGCCGACTCATACAAAAAAAAAAGCATTTCCAAAGTGGATGTGTGAATTGCTGTCCTACTTGTCTGAACCAAAAAGATGCCCTCGTGGGCTGTATGAAATGCGTGCTCACTGTTTTAAAGCATAATGCAGAAAAAAATCTGCAGCACTGCAAAAACATTTGGTGCCAGCAGGTAAAACGAGGGGAACACAGAATAACCTTTTACATTTGTTTCAATTTAAAAAGGTTTTTATTAAAAAATAGTGAAAAAATAAGCTTAAAAAACTTTCCTGTTGTTTTAATTCTGCTTGAATACCCAACTCTGTCTTTATTATAGATTGATAAAACGGCAGCACCAAATTCATTCTCACTTACTGTGTGTGTGCTGATGGCAATAATTCAGTCATTTCTGCTGATAAATTTATCTACATGTTTTTTGGAAATGTCTCTTTCCACCTCCACTGGAAGATCTCTTGTTTTGGAATCTGTGGGAAAAGGGAGAGCCTCAATCGTAAAGTGACAAAATGGATGGATTATAATTGTTCTGTTCCTGCTATTTCTTTGCAAAACACACAAAAAAGGCCTCTGTTACAAAGTATGCACGAAGCAATCAAACGAAAAGAAAAAAAAAAAAAATCTGAACTAAAATTAACTGCAGTAATGCTTTGTTGCAATCACTGCAGAACTCTGTTTATACAACACAATGACCTTCCTGGGGCAAAAAAGTTTCACAGCTGCTTCTGAGTACCTTCCAGTTGTTGCTCTAATACAGTCAATGCAAATCTAGCCTAAAAATCTCCAAGCCGTCTAAATAAGGTGACTAGAACACTGCCACCTATTGACAACAAGATCTTCTGAACATTGTATCTATGCTGCTTGTTGTGGCTCTCTACCTTGCACATTGAGCTGGCCTGTTCCTTACTTTCAAGTGAAGAATAACCCTAACCTATAAATATTAAAATGTACAGTGCCATACATAATGTCCTGCCAACATCTACATCCATGCCTAAAACTTGGTTGAGACCATCCTGTCCTTTAGTCTAAAGACAGGAGAAATTAATAACATCTGTAACTACCATGAACACAGCTACTGGTTTACTTGAGTCAACTTCAGCAGCTCACTTACCCACAGCTGGGGCAGATTCAAGTATTATACTTAAAGTGAAGGTAACTATGAGTACCTCACATTTACCAGCTGTCTCAATGTAGGAACACTTCTGGACAGCTTCTGCACAGCTGATGGCACAGCAACAGGCTGGTGCTACATACCAACATTGACAAGAATTGCATTGTGCCCAGAAGAGCCAATTGTCCTCTGTTCAGAACAAAGGGTGTAAAATAAGAAGCTGTAGATATTGACAAGGGGATATTTGAAGTCAGGTAAGAAGAATTCTGCCCAGAAACCCCCCCTTTTCATTTAAGTAGGCTACCTACTCTTAAATATTACTTGAGATGTTTTCCAAGTTTTCTCTGCAGTTTTGTACTCCCTGATCCCACTGTATGTAAATCCACAATTGTTTTTTTTCTTTTCCTCCATAAAACAGCATAACCTTCTTAATCAATGAATGCTGTTGGGATACGTGGTGTGTGAGACAGTTTATTTGTTGATGTACAATTGGCTAAGGGCCTCACAACATTGGGACGATGAGGCAAACAAAAAGAACAAGCACTTACAGACAGAAAATCCTGACCCATTGGTGTTAACAAAGGCAGTGACCAGAAACAAACTTGGTGGGTTGCCCTCATTAACAAGAAGTGGCATATGGGAATGTTTATTCCAGCAGGGTTATCTGATCAAGAACTTCCAAATGAGGAAACAATCGAAAGAAACAGACCTGGTTAGTCTCAGTGATAAACACACAGTGTGAGAAAGTTTATTTGAGTAGAGCCGTTTGATGGAAGACTCCTAAATTGGGCTGCTAAGGGCAGAAAGGGAAACATTAAGCAAACATACCAGGGAATAGATCTGACACAACAATAACTAAATAAACAGTAAATTAAAACAAGAAAGTTTTCTGCTTGTTATTGTGGCTCCTCTCCAAGGGCACTACAATTAACCTTTTGGACTTACTGGGAGCCTTGTAGCCCTTAATTACACCAAGAGACTGCAGCTGACATTAGCTGATATCAACAAGATTATGTTGTTCAGAGTAAAGATCAATGAGTCTACTTATAATGGACTTTGCACAGTCAAACCCAATATACAAAGTCCCTTTGCAGTTTTTTATTTTTTTGATGTTCCAAATAATTTGATATGTTCTGTATTCCCCATTCTATCCAAGAATGACATTTATGCTTTAAATGCTGGATTATACAAATCTCATTTACTTACAGATCCTAACTAACAAAGAGGTTTATTTAAAAACGTACAAACTTTGCAAAGTAGCAAAATTAGTATACATAAACTTTCACTTTATGAACATCTTTGTCTTCACATTCTCTTTGCTTATTGTAATAATAGAAGGTGTTGTCCTTTCTCTGAAGCTTCTTCACAAATCCAGTTTCTGGCCAACACTCTACCTACAAAGAAAATAAAATGATATTCATTCACTGGAACAAGTTTGCACTGAGTGAAGCTTGTGCCCTGTGTTGTAGAGAATATAGGGTATAGGTCTATGGGAAAACAACACTGTTTCTGAAGAGACTTTGCATTAGCTTCCTTAAGTATTAAAAAGATTGAGAACAAGATGTTAGAAAAGAGTTTTCAGGTCTAATATAAATAATTTTTTGATCAGAGACTTCTTCGAATAAGCAGGATCAGTCCTGCAGGACGCCAGCACTATCATAGTGCTGTTCATTATTCACTTTGTGAAGCTCTGAACATACAAGTGCTCCAGCCATTAGTTTAAGAGCTTTATGGTTTTGACAGCTATCTCCAGTTTGAACAACTGTAATTACTTCTGATCAGCCCAAACCTTAAGAATCCCATCTTTCTTCCAGGCAGAGCTGAGAATAGGATATTAAACTACAGCATTCTCTGATTGGAGAGTTCCAGAAGCAGTAGCTTAATTCTGCATTACTTCGGCATACAGTTGAATTATGTGCATCCTCTGTCTGAAGATAAGAGCTTTAACATTTGTTACAACTACACTGTAATTGCATCATTAATCATAACTGCAGTCTGGAATCATAATATGGAGTAAATACAACATTTCCAACTTACACATTTTGAAAAGAACCACCAGATCCTGGCAAGTTTCAACAGAACACACATTTTAAATCAGCATAAGTGATGCTTTTCAGCTTTTATGAGGATTTAATTATGTGTGGTTACATACTGCCATAAATCTTGAATGGACTCATCCTACCACACTAAGTGCAGCATTTATGTGCACAGCAGGTTAAGATCTTTTACAATTGTATGTTTCATATTATATATGTTGCTTTGGAAGATCAATTACAGAAATTCAACGCAGGTAGCATATTATTTACTCTATTAGCCTCTGTTGTTCTTTTGAATCTCAGGAAACCACTGAATTTCTCATCTGATGTGCAAGGGAGTTTTGCCATCAACTGCAGTGAGCAGAAGACCAAGTCCTAGATGTGCTCTGTTGGCAGATGCCTGTAACACAACTCCCTGTAACACAACAGCTGCCATCAGATATTTCTATTTTGGTTAGATTCAATAGAAACCAAATTTTGAGTGTGCATGACATTTGATTATGCTACTATGCAGTAGCACAGGACAACCTGGACAATGGATGTGTTTCCTATCAGGCCCATTGGCAGAGATATGGGGAGACTTCACAGAGAATTACCTTTAATATATTCCTTCCTTCAAATCTGAATTAGTCTTTTGGACAACAGCTACATCTATTCAAAGAAACCTATGTTATATTTGTAAGTGTGTAAGACATGGGGAACAAAACCAGGCTGGCTTATGTTTCTATTTTGCTTCTGTAAAATAAATTACTCTGCATGGCTAATAATTGCACAAGAATTCAAGTCAGATCTGGGAGGAAAAAAAAAAAACTGTATCAAAAACTAGCATAATGACAGGAAACAAGAGGCATGTTCAGCTTTATTTAATAATTTAACATGAGAGAGAAATTCATTGTAAGAACTCTTGCAGAGTTTTAAATCTTACCGTATCAACTTGTTTTACTTGTTTATATTCAACTTCATCTCTGTACCCAGCTTGCTGGAACCTGTATAAGTTCTCTATCTCATCTGACCATTTTTTGGCATGACGTATAGATTTTGGCTTGATGTCAGCTTTAGACACGGCTGCAGAAACTTCTGACATTTTCCTGAAATTAGATTTTTGAAAAGGAAATAGAGAAGACAAAAGCAAGTGATCTTGTTAGGATGAAACAGGGATGGGTAGAACAAAATTGAAACAATAAAGTACAGCCTATACAATGTCTTCCTCTCCAAGTCTGAGATTAAAAAAGAAAAAAAAAACACAGAATGGCCTGGGCTGAAAAGGACCACAATGATCATCTAGTTGCAACCCCCCTGCTATGTGCAGGGTCGCCAGGCTGCCCAGAGCCACATCCAGCCTGGCCTTGAATGCCTCCAGGGATGGGGCATCCACAACCTCTCTGGGCAAATAATAATTATAAACAATCAGAATAAAATTAAATGCACTACTCGATCTCAAACAAACCCATGACACCCATACTTCTCTCTCTAGGAAACTGTTATCACGATATTTTTGCCACCCTGAGTTAACAGCACTGCCTAAAATTTACTGGTGCACAGAGATGCATAAATAAACAAAGAATACCCAGTAATTGTTTCAAATTTTGCATGTCCATAGTCACTGCTCCTTTGAGAGAGGAAGTTTTTCAAGTTTTTCTTTCCTCCTACTGAAGGAACACCAAAATGGCAAGCACAAAATGAAACATTCAGGATAGGTGAGGAACAGAAGGAAGGAATGCACTGCCAGTTATATGGCCACAGTGAAGATGACAAAGAACTGGTTCTAAAAAATCAGTTGGATGGTGTAAGAAAGAAAAGCACACAATCTACCAACATTCATCCTAGCCAATGCTTGCCCAACCAAAATCTGACTGATGCTACTGACTCTCTCCCCACACAAAACCCTTTTGCAAACAAGGTAGAATTTCCTTACTTAGCAAGTTCCAATGTCAACTGAGAGTTCAAAAAGTTGAAAGCTGGTGGCTTATCAAATGAGTCAGTTAGAAAGACCAGTAAAGAAAAAACTGCAGCTTACACTGCTTTAGGAAAATGATATCAAGAATTGCTACCATAATGTGGAAACTGAAATCTGCATCTCTGTCATATAACGTATGAGCCATTGGGAAAGAAAGAAAGGGCCTTTCATCCCTGACTGCATATGCTTCATTGAAGATCAATAAAAAATATGCACAAAGACTTTCTTCTAGCAACACTGATCTATTTCTTGTAGCTCAGCACTCCAAACCATTAAGTAGTAAGGGCTCTGCAGCTCTTACTGATGCTTTGTAATTGAAGGCAGTCATTTAGTAATAATATTTTTTAAAAAAGTAATTTTCACACCCAGTTATGAGGTGTCAAATACAAATTAGATGCTCAGTATATATCCTTATTATAAATCTGTAGTGTAGTATTGCTATCTCAAAATAATTCTTTCATCTCTTGCTGCAGAGGGCCCTCTTGTAGCCATTATAGAATTTTGCATATGCTGTCAATCTGGGACTTGAGAAAGACCATACTGTAAGTAATGGCATTAGGTCTTAAATTAACAATAGTTCAGCACTTATTAAGCATCTTATGATAACTCACATGTTACTGGGCTTAAGTACTTCTTTAGAGGATGTGCTGAATTCATCTGATGAATGCAGTTCTTCAAGACATCTCGATGCAGTTGGCATTTCCTGACTCACCATTGTTTTGGATTGCTTGCCCACAGGTCTTCCTGCTCAAAAACACGTCTAAGTGTCACATAAAGTGTCAGGTTGGTGACTTCAATAATTATAAAAATTATAAAGCCTGATACTACCCTGACTGAACAAAGTCCAAGAATGGATGAGGTTGGCAGTGACCTCTGGTTCTATCTGGTCCAGCCTCCACTCAAGCAGGGACACCCAGAGCAGGGTGCCCCAAATCACATCCAGGCAGCTTCTGAAGATCTCCTAGGAAGGAGAATCCATAAATTCTCTAGACAAACTGTGTCAGTGCTCTGTCACCTGCATAGTAAGGTTCTTTTTTTTAAAAAAAAAAAATTCATTTTCAGAGTTTTTTCTTCTTTTCCCTTGTTTCAGTTTAATCCAGAACATGAAATAACTACTGGACATATGGGAAACTGTCAGACGAGACAGATACCAGTGTAAAATGCTAATATTTGAAAGATTTGTGAATGCAGGTGTATTTATAACAAAGTGTGGACACCTCATAAGTGAACCTCAGTCCTGATCAGCTGAAGAGGGAAAATCAGACAAATGGTCTGCATAATTCATGTTTATATAAGTGCTGTTTATATTTACATTGGTGCCAGTAAATGCATTGTTTTCAGTCTGTGCATGCTTTCAGGCTGTACACGTGTGAGAATGGGCACACTTACTGGAAGTATAACTCTCATACCAGCTACCTAATGGAAAGTGAAACACAGCAGCCTGCTTCTGTGGCACTGGAACAGAAGAACTCCCTGATATTTGAAGTCATTGGTGTCTGGCTTAACAATATTAAGCACTACCAAAAGCTGAGAAACTAGAAGTAACTGACTACGTACTTCTTTCAAGTTACTGAAGCTGTGTATTTGCCTCTCATTAAATCAGCTGCTCCTCAATGCTGCTTCTTTCCCCAAGTTTCTTCCTTCTGTTTCCTTAAAATTCACAACGGAAAAGAACAGAACTTGTACAACAGAAGATTGCACTTAAACAGTCACCACCACCAACAGTAGAACAAACTGCTCAGAATATACCTTGTGTCCAGTTCCTAAGGCAGAGCTCAGCATGAAGGCAGAGCAAAGCTCCCACCACCCAACCATGAGATCCAAACCCCGCTCTGAAGCCCGAGGCCTAAAGGCAGCCAAGCCCCAACCGATGCAATTCCTGCCCCATCGCACCTAAGGAAGGTCTCCACACAGCACCCCCAAAGCAACCCCCCACCCCACGCCCATCACACCAACTCCAGCCCCTCTGCCACCACCACCACCAGCAGAACGACTTCATCCCCATCTTATCACCATGACTCTCAGCCCTACCACCGCCCCATCACCACCACACAGCCCGCTCCCACATCCACGCCTTTGTCCTCAGAGACCTCGGTGCCCGCCGGGACGAGGCGGGGCGGGGACGGCGGCTCCTCCTCACAGCACCAACGGCCACCGCACCGCGCCGTTGCTAAGCAACCGTTTCCCGCCGTTGCCCTTTTAAGCCCTTGCTCCCGCCTCTCCCTCTGCGTGCTTCCGATTGGCTGGCATGATGCGAGCTCGCCTTCCGATTGGCCGAGGCGGTGAGGGCGTACCGAGGCGGAAGCGGCCGCCATGAGCCGGTTCGGGGGCCGGCTGCGCGAATACCCTCAGCTGTCCATCGACCGCTTCGACCACGACAACCTGCGCGCGCGCGCCTACTTCCTGTCGCACTGCCACAAGGGTGAGCCTCCCCTCCTTCCGCCCGTCTCTATGGTATCTCCCCCCACGCGGTCCTCCCCTCCCTGACCGCTGTGCCGTTTCTCCTCAGATCACATGAAGGGGCTGAAGGCGCCCGCCCTGAGGAGGAGGCTGCAGAGCAGGTATTGAATTGTATGGAAGGAAGCTAGCCGGCACGGAGCAGCAGCGCAGTAGTGAAAGCAGCCCAGCTGCTGAACGCAGAGATAACTGAGGTTCAGTGCCCGGGGTGTTCCTGGGCACTGCTGCAGTTATTAGAGTAGATGCTGCATCTCCTCAAGTGCAAGCAAAGAATCACTTTGATCACCCTGTGCTGTGCAAAAAACAGAGCTTTGTAGGATCTATTCCGTGTTCTGCTGGCTGCAAACTGTCCCAGTGCCTAATCATAGAGCCATAGAATGGCCTGGGTTGAAAAGGACCACAATGAACATCTCGTTTCAACCCCCTGCTACATGCAGGATCACCAACCAGCAGCCCAGGCTGCCCAGAGCCACATCCAGCCTGGCCTTGAATGCCTGCAGCGATGGGGCATCCACAGCCTCCTTGGGCAACCTGTTCCAGTGCATTCCAGGGAAAGCATGAACATCTGGAGCAGACCTTGGTGTGTGTGCAAACAAGCAGTGATATCCGTACATGTGGCCACCTACAACACGCTTCCTTTATGCCTGCATCAAAATATACGTGCACAGACACACGTAGGTAAGATTTTGGGTCTGCTGCACTGAAGAAGAGCCTGCTCTGCAAAAGTGCAGCAGCTCCTCCTGATCCCACGTCAGGTTGGTGCAGCACAGCTACTGCTGGCTTGCTGTTCTGCAGGTCTTTTTTGGGTGACAGAGGGGCCTGTGTGCGTGTGTTTTGGTGTGCTTGGTGCATCTGATGCATCTTTAGATTGCTTCTTGCCTCTGCTTAAAAAGAACACAAACAAAAGCACTCATGTTTTTTTTTTTTTTTTTTCCTTACAGCTTGAAAGTTAAGTTATATTGCTCTCCAGTAACTAAGGAATTGCTATTGACTAACTCGAAATATGAGTTTTGGGAGAATCACATAGTAAGTTTTCTTTAATTTTTAATTCTTAAATTCCATATGGTTTGAATTCTTAGTATAAAATATTTTTTGACGTGCATATCTGTGTTTTGGAGCAATCTGGGAGTCTGACAGTTGTCTGATTGATTAGCATTTTTGTTTGTGCTGGAGAAGCCATACGTTCTCAGCTTTTGTGAGTACCTGCTGGATGGATCACATGGAACTGCCCAGAAATTTGGGATGGGGTGTTCTGTGAATCCAGTTGTGCAGTAAAACTGCACAAAAAAAAAATCCAGATGCAGAGTAAACCTGCTCTGAGCGGGCTGAGAAGCTGAGAAGCTGGAGGTCAGACCTAGAGGGGTGATGACAGGAGTCTTTCACTTTGGCTTTTTCTTGGCAAAACAGCTGCATACAAATATGATGGGAGAGGCACAGAGCATGTATGTTGGAGGACTCTGAGTTAACATAGGGCATGCCAAAATAGGGAGATTAATTGCCATCTGTAAATTAGTCTCCTCTGTACAAGCACAGGAAGGCTTGCTGCATGCAGTTGGTGAACTCTGCTTCTGGTAATAGGGAACAGTGAGAAGCTGTGCTGCAGCATAGAGACCTAACCTTGCAAGATCACTGGTGTGCTCTGGGACTGAGGAGTTGAGCATTACAGTTATCTAAAAACAAGGCATGTGATCCCACCAGAGAAGTGTGACTGCTTACTGTTGAGAGTCCAACATACTTATTTAAGTGTGCACACATTGATTGAGGTATCTCTGTTCCATTTTTAGAAATCAACCTTTTTATCCACTGGAAATAGAAATGTATGACTTTCTACAGGAAGTCAGCTTAATTTTACTGTTTAGATATTGACTATTTAGGTGTTTACATAATGAAATCTTATTCAAACGTGAACCACGGTGTTCATTAAATCATGTAATGCATTTATTCACTCTTACAGGTTGCACTGGAAGTTGAAACTCCTACTCAGATTTCTTTAGTAGATGAAACAACTGGTGAGGTAAGTTAAAGAAAAAGAAAAATCATATATTTGTAATGGATAGTAAAGTTTATCTGTAACAGCAGAAGTGGACAAGCTATTTTAAAATATATGTTCTTCTTTCCTCCAAAATGTGTAGCCACATGAGTTCTTCTCCACTCTTCTTATTATCAGAGTGCTTTTTCTGATAATATCTTTCCTCTGTATTAGGGATCTCAAGTTTATGCATTGTTTCTGTGATTTTTCACCCCATATTTAAGTGTAGAACTTGCAGGTCTGGTGGATCATCTCCAGGCAAAGCATATACCAGGATGTTTCCATGTTTGTTTGCTAGGAACCAAAGAAATAGGGCTGTCTTCTGGCTGACTCTCATCAGCACCAACGTTCAGTCATCTCTTCTGCCATGAAAAGACAGTTGTTGCTCTCCAGGGCATTCTGGAATGTGAAGAGACTGTCTTTTCATTCAAAGTCAATGTGAAGTGATGCAGGTGGCTGTGGAGAGTTGCCTTCACTTTGTTAGAGAAAGTACCAGTAGTATTTGTTCCAGTGTGAAAATAATGCTAACTCCTCTGTTGCAGAAAGAAGATATAGAGGTGACACTCCTGCCAGCTGGCCACTGTCCAGGATCAGTCATGTATGTCTTATTCAGTATTCTAAGTGTTTCTGCTGGGAGATTTGTCCTACAAAGTTCTCAATAAATACTATGGTTGTGGATGCAGTGGATAGCTGGGTTATCCCATACTGATTGAATTATTGGGTTTGCCTGAAATTACTCAAGGACAAAATTGAGCCTCGTATTGCTGTTATGCCTTATTCTGCTCACACCGACATGTATTGAGCAAAGTAACAAATTGACACTTGACAGTTAATGTTTTTCATTGAGTTTGATGGAAGTGTTTCTCTGTGTAGGTTTCTGTTTCAAGGTGAAAATGGCACTGTGCTGTATACAGGGGATTTCAGGCTTGCAAAAGGAGAAGCAGCCCGAATGGAGCTTTTGCATTCAGGGACCAGGTATGAGAAAAAGCACTAGCATTTTAATTCAGTTCCTGGTGAGTTTTGTCTATCTGTGGGATTTAGAACGAATAAAAGGTCGTATGAACGTGGGCAATTTGGGAATTATTTCATATATATATATACTTTTTATTAAATATATTTGCAGTAAGCAGTTCAGTTACAAGCTTTTTTTGACTTGCTCTTTGTAATAAAGAGGAAGAATCGCATCCTGTTTGAGGAGAGAGGAAGTAGTGTATCTTAGTGCTGCAATGCATTGCTCACTCTGATATCACATTTCTCTTTCAGAGTAAAAGACATCCAGAGTGTTTATTTGGACACCACTTTTTGTGATCCTAGATTTTATCATATACCAAGCAGGGTAAGTCTAAGTAGGCTGTGAAAGGTCCTAAAGCCACTAATAAATTAATGAGCCTTTTTTTAGCTAAATCTTGAAAATGTGAAATGGTATTGCCTCTCAAATCATAGCACTTTACAGATATCTTCTGAGACAAATCACAGTGTTTCTCTACACCTTTCAGGAGGAGTGTTTAAATGGGATCTTAGAGTTAGTGCGAAGCTGGACCTCGCTCAGTCGCTATCATGTTGTGTGGCTGAATTGCAAAGCTGCTTATGGATATGAGTATTTATTCATAAACCTCAGTGAGGAGCTTGGAATCAAGGTAATTGTTTTAGAACAGATCCTGTGTAGTAACTATGAACTGAACTGGAAATGGCCGTTTAGAGAACTACTGTATGTGAATGGTGTGCACACCGTGCTTAAAAAAAAAACTACAGTTGTGCTCAGAAGTGAGTTAACTATTTGGTTTCAGTGGGTGACATCTACTGGAACATCTAGACTCTCAAGGGAGAAGTTAATCCCCATTTTTCAGCTCAGCATTTACCTCTTTCTTTTATACCTTGTAAAATTCTTATTTGCACGACAGAAATAGCAGATGCATTCTAATTTTCTCTGATGAGTACTCAGCCCTCTGTAGCACAGGAGCTACATTCTGTTTGTTCTATATATCCAAGACACTTCTCCACTTGGATATTTACAAATTACCCATTAATAAATCCCTACTGGCATTTGTTGAGAGCAGAACCATATCTGTGCTCTAGCTGCAGTTTGGCAAACACCGTGAGCTAATTAAGAAGTAAACTTTGCCTTTTTTTTTTTAGGTACATGTGAATAAGCTTGATATGTTCAAAAATATGCCAGAAATCCTCTACCATATAACTACAGACCGATACACTCAGATTCATGCCTGTCGACATCCTAAGGTGTGTATCATTTTGGAAAGCCTTTGCTAACCTTGCAATGAAGAACTGATTGTAGATGTTTTACTGCTATCCTAGAGCAGACTTGGCCCAAACAGTTGCTTGATGCAGTAGAAAATGAGGATTTTAGCAGGCTAAGGCTTTTTTTTTCTTTTAATTAGAAAAGATAATAGATGATGCTAGAAATAGTTGAACTGCATTCTGAAACTCGTTAAATGAAGTAAGACAAACAGCAGACTAAATCAGTCAGGTACCATTCATTTTCATATATCAAAACCAGCCTGTATGATGCCTCCTGCAGCTGTGCACTGTGTGCTTGAAATTTATGACCCTCCCTTTCCAACATGTCTGAAGCTGAAGGCTGCAACTTGAAAGAGTGGCAGGTAGAACTGTACATGGCACTGGGGCATTGGTCTTTGATTTGCTTTGTCAGCTATGAAAGCAGAATGCAACAGAGAAGAGATGGTGTTCAGAAGAGCTGGAAGTGAAAATTTGGTTTGGCTAGATACTGTGTGGCTTAATTTCTTGGGGAAAATATCAAGATTGGACTTAATTTGATTTTGTATTTGACAGGACGATGACTACTTTCGAGGGAACAGGCTGCCCTGTGGAATCACTTGCCAAAATGGAACTCCCTTGCATGTAATTAGCATCAAACCCTCCACTATGTGGTTTGGAGAAAGGATCAAGAAGACCAATGTAATAGTGAGGTGAGCATTCCTATAAAGAAGGGCTGAGGGAACTGGGCTTGTTTAGCTTGGAAAAGAACAGGCTCTGGGGAGACCTCATTGTGGCCTTCCAGTACTTGAAGGGAGCACATGAACAGGAGGGGGAACGGCTGTTTATGAGGGTGGATATGACAGGACAAGGGGGAATGGTTTTAAACTGAGACAGGGGAGATTTAGGTTAGATATTAGGAGGAAGTTTTTCACAGAGAGGGTAGTGACACTGGAACAGGTTGCTCAAGGAGATTGTAGATGTGCCATCGCTGCAGGGATTCAAGGCCAGGCTGGATGTGGCTCTGGGCTGCCTGATCTGCTGGTTGGCGACCCTGCCCATGGCTGGGGCTTGAAACTAGATGATCATTGTGGTCCTTTTCAACCCAGGCCATTCTATGATTCTATGAGCATTAGGCCATACAGAAATCCATTTTAGGTGTGTGTCTTGCCAAAGTTTTATGTAACTGAATCTCAGAATGGACTGTTATGGATTAAGTTAATCTTGCCTGTTAAGTGAGCTTGAAAACCAGCTAATTTATGTGCCTCTTATTTTTCTTTTTGTAGGACTGGAGAGAGTACATACCGAGCTTGTTTCTCTTTCCACTCTTCATACAGTGAGGTTTGTATACTTGTAGTGCTGAGTAGACTGCAAGGGATGTTCTCATCTGCAAATAGTAAGGACTCAGAGTCCAGTAGGAAGAATGCAAGACTGATAAGATCTGCAGTAGTGAGGATGGGGAAGCACTGAATCCCAGGGAACTTGTTGGAATCATCATTGCTGTTTGTCAGATGTTTTCTTTCAGAGCTGGTGATTGTCTGTGAAGTTGGTGATATTGTGTGATGGTTAGGTGAATTCTGAATTCTTAGCATCCTTTCAGAACTGTGTTATTGTTATACTTCCATAGTATCTGACATATCATTCTTTATATCACATAATTGGAGAGTACTTACTGTGCAGTTTTTAAATGGAATTATTAACTGTTGATCCAACTTCTTAAACAGTTTCTCCCTCTCTTCAATTTAGATTAAGGATTTTTTGAGCTATATCTGTCCTGTGAATGTATATCCCAACGTACTGCCAGTGGGTGGGTCAGAAGACAAAGTTATGGAAATGTAAGTGACAGTAAGCTGACTTGTGAGTGAAGGTTATCTAATCCGTGTCCTTGCAAGGATCACAACTTTCCTGAATCCCAGCCTTTCAAGCAGACCAATGCCTTTTGCTTAGCTCTACTGATAAAGCAGTTCTGTTAATCTATATTCAGCTCTCTAAACTTCTTTCTTAGTTATGTCTATGTAGAGGCTTTTTTGATAACTGTGTTTGGGTGGCATCTGAATATACATTTATCCCACTTTTTTAACTATTGACCTATTTCTGCTTGTCAGTACTATTTTTGAGAAATTTCTAAGAAAGAATTTCTTTGGGCACTTTGAACTCCCAGTCTCTGTGCAGGCACCCATGTACAGTATCACACAGGCCTGTGGTCACATGCTGATAAAGGTCGTGGCAGCTTAGTTGTGTTACGGAGTAGAATAGTAGTGATATTACTCAATGTGAACAAAATGAGGACTTCTTTCTTTGCTCCTTTTTGTTTTTTCCTTAATAGGAAAGGAGATGCTTTGCAATAATTGAATAAACCTGCAGTCAGAGTTTCAACTCTGTCATCTTATCTTCTCTAAACAAGGGCCTAAAAGGTAGTTTACAAATGCTGTACATGTTAAGGTAAATAAATAAGAATGTCAGATCTTTTTTTTTAGCATTTTAAGCTGTCTCAGCTCACCGAAGTGGTAACTTTTTCCCCACCTATTGCTGCATTTGCTTTCACACTTTTGCTGCAGTGCCTGTTAAAGGCATGAAGCAATGTCAAAAGAGTTGCTTTTGTGCCTGAAAATATCTGCTGAGTTCTCAATAGTGATTTCTTCATTAACTTCAGATTACAGCCGTTATGCAGATCATACAGGAGAAACACAGAACCCAAGTATAAGCCCTTAGGAACACTGAAGAGAGCCTGCAAAAGAAACTTATCTGATACAGGTGAGAAGTTCTGATAATGGTACTGTCCCTAACTGAAAGTCAAAGACTAGAGGAGCCAAAAGCCACAGCGCTCAATAGCTTGTGTACAAAGCAAGAAAAAAAGTACAGCTAGAAAAGAGAAATAGAAATTAAATGAAATTGGGTTTCAGGAGGGTGATGATAGTAAAATGCATTTAACTGCAGTTTTAAAATGTACTTAACAGCCTGTACATTTTTAGGATTCTGTTCCACGATCCTAGACTATCACTAATAAAGCTAGTTTTAAACTTCCCTGCATCACATCCTGTGTCCTGTGGAAGGACAGTGTGGTATTTCAGAAGAATAGGTCCTCTTCATTATCCTGAACAGCTGGCTTTTTAGCACCTAGTATCTTTTTGAAATTATAATGGTTGCTATATACAGCAGTGGGTGCTCCATAAAGCCTCTGGAAAGCCACATAACTAGAGGATGACTTTGGGCATGCTGCATTCTTTTCAGCTATTTTCAAAGTGCTGGGTATGCAGGGTTGATGTAGTCCTGGCAAAACATGACTGAGGTCTGGATAAACGAATCTAGATCAGTATCCACTAGCACTATGTGTGATCTGCACCATGCATATGAAGGCCAGAGGGGCACCTGCCCTACCAGCTTATAACTGTCCCACCTGTTGACTTTATGTTTGAGTCAGCCTTTGTTCAAAACATGGAAAAAGTGACATTAGTTCCTTCAGCAACAAGAACTTCATAGATGTTTGACACTCTTAGAGACCCCTTTATTTCTATGATTAACTTTCTCCTCGTTCTAGTGTAAAGAGTTCTGGTTTTTGTGTTTATGTCTAGCAAGCAGATATAACTTTGCTAATAACATGCAGCCCACTTCCTTTAAATAGTGCCTTTTGCTGATGTATTTCTTCTCCTTTTTAAGTATCTGATTTGGCAAGTAATGGCTCTGAGGGTTACTGTTTAAGAGATCTCCTTTACCAGTGCAGTCACTGTTCCAACAGAATGCTAGAACTTAAGGCATCTAGTCAATGAAGAAGGTTCTGATTGAATTCAGTAACACTGTGAATAATGAAAACCAAAATGGTAGAATAACTGCTGTAGATTGTAAGGTTTTAGGCAAGGTAAGCATGCTCACTAAAGTCCTGCTAAGCTTCCTTTTGAATTGAATAACTTTATTAAATTATCTTTTGTCCAAACTCTGCTCTCAACAAAATTTTCTTTATTTTGTTTTGTTTTTTTTTAAATTTTCTTGACAGATGAAGATGAGCTCTTTGATACAGAACTAACCTCTGCAAAGCCTAAGATTGCAAGATATCAGGGAGAAGAAAGTAAGCCATCCAAAACTGCACAGTCTGAAAATGCTGAAAGAAACATAAATGAGAGCACAGAAAGCTACAGAGCAAACACAACTTACACCTCTCTCAAGGTAGACTTTGTGGACTGTGAGGAGTCAAATGATGATGATGATGACGATGACGATGACGATGATGACAAAGAAGATGATTCTGAAAAAAACACAGCTCAGGTTCTTTCCCATGAGCCAGACGCCAATTCCATAACAAGTTGCAATGGAATACCTAGCAACCAGCAGGAGTCTAATGCTGATATCCCTCGCTGGGATATGTTTTTTAAGTGTAACAAAGTAGATGAAAGCTCTGAAAATGAGGACAACTTCCCATCTTCAGCAGATGCTGGTGGGTCCCAGTCACTCTTCAGTGATTCGGATGGAGTGAGTGACTCAACTCACATCTCCTCCCAGAATTCTTCTCAGTCGACACACATATCAGAGCAAGGGAGCCAGGGCTGGGATAGCCAAATGGACACAGTTCTCATTACCTCCCAAGAGAGAAATGCTGCTGACTTCAGCTGCTTCAGCAGATGTGGCAGCAGAACAGCTTTGCTATCACACGAGACCCCCAAGGACAGTCAAGCTGACGACAGTAAGTGGAAACCACATGGCCAAAATCCATCCTGTGCTTCTGATGTCATCTGTGACTTGAAAAGTGAAGACTGTGACAAAGATGCAGAAGCTGGCACTGCTTCAACTCAAGATCTGCTGGTGGAAATAAGTGACAGTTCCAGGACTCCTGATCTAGAACTGAAGAGGGACTCTCAGAGCTCCTCTGACTTTGAAATCCCCTTAACTCCAGATGCTGAAATACCTCAACGAGATAAACTGCACTACTTATATAAGAAGCTAGCAGCAGGTGAAAGCATAATGAGAAAAAACTCTCCTGAAAAGAGGTAGAACTGATTATATCACGGTAATAGTGAAATTTGTTCTTTAAATAAGAAATTATTCTTCCTTTTATTGCTGTTATTTGCATTTATGCTAATCTATGCAATTTTTGTACTACAATTACAAATAGACTTGCAGTCTGTATAACTTTATTGTTCTTTCCATGAAATATTGAAAGTGTTTCTGAAAAGGACTATAAAAGCATTCTACCTCCTAAGGTTTGGTTCTCTGAGGCTGTAACTAGATTGAAAACAGACCAAAGAAAACTAGAGGTGGAACACTAAATTAAATTTAGTGTTTTCTTTCATCATGAGCTCTAAGAGTTTGCCTTCTACACATGATCTCAAGCTTTAATATAATACCACATGTTTAATTATGGGGGGAAGAATATGGTATCTTCCCTGAATGGCCATGCAAACACTGAAATGAGCTGCCCTTCAACTTCCTGAAACCCCAGCTTTTCACTGTGGTTATTTTAAAGAACTGCAGAACAGATGAGCCAATGACAGCAGTGTTTTTGTACAATCAAACTCATCTCTCTTTAAACTGAGCAGATAGCGTATCTCAGTGCCTGTGGTTTAAATCTAACACGCAACCACTTGTTAATTCCTTTGTTTTGGTTTGGCATTGCAGCTTTGGGTTCTTGTTAAACTTCAATCCTTTCAGGAAAAAAGATCCAAACAACAGAAGTAACCTCTAAGTTTCCCAGTCCACGAGGCTTAAGGCCTGAATAATTAAAAAGACTTTCAGCATGACAGCTCTCCACACTGCATACATCTGTTTTTCTGGTATCTGGAGTGAAATGCAAATATTAAAAAAACAGCATCCTGCTACTGCAGACAGTTGCAGGGGAAAAAAACTGCTGTCATCTGTGTATGATTTGAATTATATTCAAATCCATGTGTTTTTTCCACTGTCACTTTGCCTACTCTCTGTTCCTGGGATTTTTTTAAAGTCCAAAATACAGACCTATCAACTTTTTTTTTTTTTAAGCAGGCTAAAATGAATGACACTCCTGTCGTATTTACCTTTGAATAAAGTCACAGAGAGCAGAATTCTGTCTGTTGGCTTGATTCCTTAACTGTATGATAAATTTCAGATCAGGGCTGAGTTTACAGTGTGCTTCAGTAGATGGGAGCCTCACTTATTTATACCAGTTCCAATCTGCCATGAACTGAATAGGAAACACACGATTTCCTCATGATTGCTACAGTCCTCTCAGTGCTAAAACATCTGTGTATACGACAGCAACAAATTGCACTCTTACAGCTAACAGAGTAAGATGTTTTCTTCCCCAAAAATGACAACAGCAAGAAAAAAAAAACTAAATTTAATTTATTTTGTCAAAAACTGTAGGAAGATAGCAATACTAGAGATCACACATTATGAGAAGAAAATGTTCCTGAGCTTACAAACTGCATATGCTAAAGTACACAGTCCTAAGACATACATTTGAAATAACCCAAAGATTGACTTGATTTAACTTTGAGATTAAATAAATAGACAATCTTACAGATAATCTTGCAGCATTAGTTCTGCTACCTCAGAAAATAAAACCGACAAAAACAATAAGCCAGATGACAGAGCACAGGTTACCTGACTCTTAAGAAGTACACATACACAACTGAAGTAGTGGCCATGATGCTAACAGACCACAAAGCAAAACAAAGGCAGAAACTAGGCTGGTTTAGGCTCCTTAAGAAATGGAAAATACCTTTCTTCTTCTTTTCCAATCTGGCTGTTTCCCCCCTGAACTCATAGAAACAGCAGGAGTTTTAAAGGTGATGCAGTATTCAGTTAAGCTCAGTTACCAACTGCAAATGCACTGAATACGTAGATATAAACACTGTTCAGTATTCTAAATTAGAAACTGGATATGTGATTTTACTTCAAATAAATACAAAATACTGTTACCTCCCAGAACATAAATTAAAGGTCCTTTATTTAACACACAAGAGGTAACATACATATCCTTCTAGAACAACAGTGTTTGTCACTTCAATGCTGGTGATAACATATACTGCCTTGGGAAAAAGGCAGACACGGAACTCAAGTAAAACTGGTAAGACTTTATCTTTGAATGTGTATTTATTTGTGATTTTTAAATCAAAGAGGGTGGCAAACCATTCTGTCAACTTGCACAGAAGAGGCCAGAGAAACCGATGAGGTAAGGAATCTATGTCTTGCTGCAGAACTCTTGCACTGTACCGAGGAAAGGCTGCAGACTGCAGCAGATTCAGGAGCTGGAGGTTGCAGATTCCATCCGTGTGGAATGCGTTTCTAAATTGGGCTACATGCAAGAGAAAGCAAACAACTCCAAATGACAGAAGATAATCTAGAGTTTGTTAAAGCTCCAACATTCCACATCAATAAATTAAAAATTGTTGGAGAAGTGACATTTTATGAATTGATTAGATTGAACATTTATCCAAGTGTGTGGATACAGCTGAGCCTGTTAATGTCAAAAACTTTTAAACATAAGCAAGTTTCCTCATACTCATGTAAAACAACAATTTCAACATTTATCTCTTCATGTTGTTGATTACAAAACTCAGACAGGACTTAGAGTGGCCCACACTCTTCGCTCCAACTGTGAAACTGATTTTAATGTCTCTAAGCATGAAAAAATGACACTTTCTGCCAAAGAGCCAGATGTTCAGTGCCAATGCAACGGTGCTTCTTAATCAACAGACAACCTGTGTTATCCTCTGAAACACTCTTCTTGGAGTGCTGAGAACTAGTGTGAAGTTTAAGGCATTTTCTAACAAATTAAGGAAACTGATACATGCTGGGTACTTGACTTCATTCACCTGAGACAACAGCTGTGCACCTTATAAAGGCAACTACCTGACCTATGATACATAGCTAGCATCCATTTAGGGAGCAACAACATTCTGCCTGACTGTCAACATTTTGTAAGCAAGTATTTGTAAGCAACATGCAAGTTTTACAAGCTTTTTTATCCATGAGAATAAAGCCCTTCAAATATCCCCAGAGCATGGGCCTTGGCTGTAACTCCTCTGATAACCAAACTCAAGTGCTCTTCAGTGTCTTTGAAGCCAAGCAAAACGTAGCACATATTATGAACAGATCAAGACAACTTTAAGGTAATAATAATAAAATGATTCAAGCAGCTGAAGAACAGTATTCTTCTCAGCCTTTACATTCAAGAACATGTTACAAATGACTACAGCAAATGGGTAGCTCAACCCTAGCCTAACTTCACTGAAGTTAATATTTTTGCAACACGAGAAAAATAGGCCTAATATCTTAAAAATCTGTCACTAGGTTAAAAAAAAAAAAAAAAGTCACAGTATGTAAAAACTTAAGCAAAAACAACTGTTAATACAAATCAATTCCCAGGCTATTTCTACACCTAACAGATAACTAAGTATATCTCCAGAATGCATCAGTGTTGATGGGCAATAGACTGCTTTCCTTAAATTACTTTATTTTCTATTCCCAAACTGTAGTCAGTATTTTTTTTTCAGCAATGACTGCCAAATTTCTGCAATGAAAACAAAACAGTGTGTGTTACCAATAATAACCCAATATTTACAAATTCTGTGCAGAAAAGAAGACTTCCTACAGAATCTGAACTAAAAGAATGTAATGATTTAAGAAGTTCTATTCATAAAGCTCCTAAACAACATGACATCAGATAAAGATGTTTAAGACCCCCAGACTCAACGAATACCGATGATTTTATTGTGTGGAATTCAGTGGAGCTTTTCCAATTTGCATTCCTCTGAGCCGCCTTCTAGACGTGGTCCGATGCCTCTTATTGTGGTGCCATAGATGTTATTGCTACTCTCTCTCTGAGCTTTCTTTTATACACCAGCACAAAAAAAAAGAAAAAAAAAAAAGAAAAAAAAAAAAAAGGAACTGTCTGCTATGATTTAGGACTCAAATTGAATGCCTTCTAATACCTTCTTTGCAAGGTACAGAAAATATGCAACACCACTTTTATCTCACTGAAATCAGCTCCTAAAAGGCCTACCACTGTGAGCTTACATTTAATATTCAAATCAAGGTACATTTTAAAGAGTTTTCTTACCATATACTTTACTGCTTCCTAAATAACGATGATAGAAAAATTAAATTTTAATCCACATTATCAGTTTCAACCTGAAACACTAGATCTCTTTCTTTGGCCAATGCCATTTCAATTACAAACATAACATCTTGTTTTCATTGTATCTGTTTACATAAGCTGTAAGAACAATATATGTATGAAAGAAGAGTCTCCTTAAAACTCTTTTAGAAGAGAACAAAGTATTTGTGACTTTGGGTACTCAAACTTAGTTGAGATAACCTCTGCAACACACAGCTCCACATTTACAGACTGTTCTGATCCTCTTTTTGGATGGGCTCAGACCATCAGCAGAGTCTGAAGTCAGATCTATAGAACCTGTGACACAGATAAACACAATTAAGGACATTTTAATGGAAGGACTGAAATTAAGCTAGGAATTCAAGATAGACAAATGGCTTCAAAAAGCCTTCTACCACCCCAGCTCTTAAGAGAATTGTGTGTGAAGCTATGCTAAATTCTATCAACACCCACATTACAACTGCTTTTCCAACACTTGTCACACATGTCAGGATCCAAAGCTCAATGAACGCAGGCCCTTTAGGCTCAAGCCTATAGGCATGTACTGGTCAGCTGAGACTGCAGTCCGCCTTGAACATCACTATCACAGGCACCACAAAAAAAAAGGGGAGTTTTAAAAAGAGTTATCAATAAAAGAACTTGGTCAGTATTGAAAGAGAGCTTCTGCAAGAATGTGGTACAGCTCTGAAGCATAAAAATACTTTTTTGGAAATTAAATAGCTGGAAAAACAATATGTTGTGGTTTAGTGGTTTGCAAGCATGCAAAGCTTGACACACAGAACACCACTGCCAACCAGATTCAAACGTTTTATACGGTACTGGGCAAAAATAAAAATAAAAAGGAATTCCTGAATGGAAAGTCAGTTATCAAAGAAGCTGGTAATATTTTACCAAGAATATTTCTTCCTGAAGTCTCTGCATAACAATCACTGTACACACCTATAGTACCTTACATCACTCAGCTGTTACAACTGCCTTCATAACTGTCAGTTCAAAGCAATTACTTCTGAGATTCTTTAAAAAGTGGTTTACCTGAAATGCCAGCTTCAATAAAAGGAAGCTTTTCTAAACGTCTCCAACTATGTTTTTTTGTCCTGACCACTATTTTGAGCAGCCCTGTGACAAATCTTTAAAGCAAGCTACCTTGTCAGAGGTTCCAACCACAACCCCTTGCTCTGAACCAGGAGTGCTGAAGGAAGTAATGCACTAGAGGTGCACACAAAGCTTCTGGTTGTGCGCTGTCTGCGCTGTCAGTGAGGGACATCTGTTCTAGTGAGATGCAATGCCTGACCTAAAACATTGACATTAGTCAGACTGCAACAAAATTAGCCAGTGCCCCTTACTTCCCTCAAGATCAACGTAAAATGTGCAGACCTTTCATCTGGTAGTCAAAGGTCAGCTCTTCTCCAGCCTTGATGGTTCTTGTGGAAAACAATGCTATTCGAGGAAGACGCAGGTCAAGGTTATCGATAAATACATTGAAGACTTGAAGATTGGGATCACACTGTGAAGCAAAAATTAATGTAGATGCTGTTAAAAAAATGCACACTAAGTTTCACTGAAGTATTCAGCAGAAGGAGAAATGGTTCTTAGTGACAGAAGTCTAAAAATCAAGTCCTCTATCTTCTGAAATCAACAGATCTGAAATAGCATTAAAGGAAAACATTCAGAGCTTAAAGCAGAGCACTTCCAAGAAGGCAACTTTCACACAGTACAAAGACTATAATAATACCTAACAGCCTATGTAAAATAATTGTAACTTCAAAGTATGGCAACAAATAAGACAAAGGTTAAGATCTACTTATTAAATCCACAAAAATAATTAATAAGCTTAATAATAATACCAATAATATGAATGAAAAACAACCTAGCACCTTAAGCCACACAAACGTAAATGCAGAATGATGAGTGCAAACATTGCTTCTAGGCCAGAAATAATATTCTCATACTGCAGGTAACTATTTTTAATTGCTAATCTGAGCTTTGAATGATCCGTTACAGGCAGGAGGAGCAGTGTCAGGCAAACTAAGCATGAGCTATAAGCTGCTTTCTCATTTTTGACAGATGAAGTATCAGAAGACAGCAGTCACTTGTTAAACTGCACACGTGCTTTTAGAAGAAAAACACATCCCGTATTACAAAGCCAA